GCTGTGGTTATCTTTCCCAGTAAGACTGTTACAGTAATGAGTTCAGGGTCCCTGATTCCTCACCCAAGCCAGAAGCTTCTAGAATTTTTTCCTACCTGGGTCAATGTTCACATTAACTTTAAACGTGATATCAGGTCCAGTTTTCTCAATCCCACACCAGTAAATGCCAGCATCGCTTATCCTCAGGTCCTCCATGGTCACTGTGACGATGAAGTCTGTCTGGTCATCCCTGATGGACACACGGTCCTTCTTCACCAACTGCTCTGATGCATCGGTTTGAATGAGGATCTTACATGTTCTCCAAACAGCTCCTCGGCACCAGAATTTCTTGTAATTCTTCCAGGATGAGTCATAATGGAACTGCACAGTCAAGGATCCTTGTGCCTGACCACTCACCATGTTTGGCCCTGTGATTGGATCCTGAGCAGTGGAGCAGCCTGGAAAATACAAAACCACAGACAATTGATCTCCTACTCCAAGAATGGGACACAATATCCTGTGCTGAAAAGAGTTCACAACTTATCATCAATTAAGAGCAACCCCTTTCTCAAGACAGATCATCGCCATTCTATTGGTCAAAGACTCAAGAAAAAATGCTGAAGGGCCCAGTTACAGGTCTCAGAAGGTAAATGGTGACAATGAGCAATCATTTTTTTCTGTCATCCACACCTCTTCACTCCGCAGTGGACAATAAAATTACATTTCTAAAGATCCTTTTGCAACCACCTTTATGTTACCCTGAAGGAGAGGATGTGTCAGAAGGGATTGTGCACAGGACGCAATCCTGAGTTCATTTCAGTACCCGTGACTCTCAAAAGGTCCCTCAGAAGACATCACATTCTGTGGCCATGCAGAGGCCACTTCAGGAAGTCCAGCAGTCTCAAGGGGTTGTTTGTGTGTGTGTGTGTGTGTGTGGTACTTACAAAGGAAGCACAAAATAAACAAAATAAATACCTGCTTTAAAAACAGTAAAGGAAGCCCTTCAGGGGATTAGATTCAACAATAACAAATGGCACAGGTAAGAAACAAAGTCACTAAATGTAATTATTTCAAACTAAAATGACTCAAACCACAGAGTGGAGACCCAGATTGCAGCCTGGGAGAGCATCTTTTCAGACTATGCATCTGACAAGGAGTTAATTTCTAGACTATGTGAGCAAGAATTCAACTCAAGACTCCACCAGCAGTCATAATCCAGTAGAAAATGATCTACTGAAGCGCTGTGGTGAAGGTTTAGTCACGAGACACCTGCTGTGTTGGCCTAAGCACGAAGACCCGAGTGTGTGTTCCCAGCAACCATGTAAATGTCAGGAGTGCTGGTGTGTCCCTGGAGCCCAGCACAGAGGTGTGCAGTAGACACAGGGGATCCTGGAATTCCTTGGCCATCCAAGCCAGCCTCAGTGTCAGTGTAGAACCCTGTCTCAAAAAATAAAGGAAGGAGTAGGGCAAGGTGGTCCATGCTTTAATGCCAGCACTCAGGAGGCAAAGGTAGGCAGATCTCTGTGAGTTCAAGGCCAGCCTGGTTTACAAAAAAGTTGCAGGCCAGCTGGATCTACATAGTGAGACCATGTACCAAAAATAAAATAAAGCGATAAAGTTGGGCATGCACACTTGCTCAGACCAACACACACATGAGCAGATGAACAGTAAACAGTTCTCAAAGGACATAGAAATGGTCAATAAATAGATGGAAAAATGCTCCATTTCACTAATTGTCAGGAGGATTGATGCAAATCAGAATCACAGAGAGCCGTCATCATCCCCCAGTCAGAATGGATATTACCAAAAAGACAAAATATAACAACTGTAGATGTGCATGTGGGACAGTGGAAGTCTCACACACTGTGGGTTGGAATGTAAATTAGACATTGTGGGAAACAGTAGGGACGTTCCTCAAAAAAGCACAGAACTGCCACATAATTCAGCAGCTACACTCAGAGATAAAGCTTGTGTTAGTGAGCTTTTTGTCAACTTGACACCACCTGGGGGTATGCAAAGAAAGAACATCACCTGAGAAGATGCCTCCATCAGGCAGGCCTGTAGGCAAGTCTGGGGGACATTTTCTTGATATGGGGAGGTCTAGTCCACTGTGGGTGGTGTCATTCCTGGGTAATGAAAGAGAGCAGGCTGAACAAGCCTTGGGGAGCAAGCCAGTAAGCAGCACTCCTCCAGGATCTCTGTCTCAGTTCCTGCCTCCAGATTCCTGCCCATATTGAGCTCCAGCTCTGGATTCTCTCCATGATAGACTGTGATCCAGACATGTATGTAAACAAGCCTTCTCCTCCCCAAGCTGTTCTTGGCCATGGTCTGTATCACAGTGATAGAAAGCAAGCCCAGAGTCCAGAGAATTAGTGAGTTACTGCAGTGATCCTTCCCCTGTGTTTCCTGCAGCTGATTCACAAAAGCCATGGCACAGGATCAGCCTCGATGTGGATGGATAGATAATAAAGTGTGGTACATAAATGCAGTGGAATAGCATTGTAGCTCTATTGAATTTCATCATTTGCAGCCCAGGGATGGGATTGGAGGAAGTGAAATAAACCAGACACAGAAAGACACTACCACAGATTTCTATCTATATGTGGAAGCTAAAAACTTATCCTCTGGGTCTAGCGGATGGGGAGATGAACAGGTCAGTGAAGTGTTGGCTGCAGCAGCAGGAGAACCTGAGTTTGGATCTTCAGAACACATAGAAAAATTCAGATGAGGTGGGGTGTGTCTGTAGCCCTAAGAGCTGGGGAGTCAGGGACAGGAGGATCCCTGGGGATCCATCACTGGCCACTTAGGCTGAGTCAGTGAGCTCCAGGTTCAGTGGGAGAGCCTGTCTCAACAATCAAGGTGGGGAGGGATAAAGGTACCCAGTGGTAATCTCTGGCTTCCACATATGTGTGTGCACACACATATGTACTTGAGCACACATATAAACACACTAAACATTTACATATGCATACACCTCGCAGACAGATTTTTTTTTTTCAAAAAGCATGGAAGTTAACTTCAAAGAAATAGTGAACAGAATAGCCGTTATCAGCCTGGGCAGGGTGCCAGGGAAGAGGTGGACAGAGAGAGTGCTGAGGATGTAGGGGTCGTTTGATGAGTTGACGACGTCTAGTGTTGTACAACACAGCTGAGAAATATGTTTGACGATTCAGTATTTCAAATTACTTCATAGAGAAGATTTCCGATGCCTCTAGTACACAGAAATGACAGACTCCTGTGGTGGAATGTCAGCTACGGGGATCTGACCGTCACATCCTATATACACACATGCAGATATGACATTGTATCTATCAGTTTCTTTTCTCTTTTTGAGACAAATCTCCCTATATGGATCAGATGGGCCTTGAACTCACAGAGGTCCACCTACCTCTGCCTTCTGAGTGCTGACATTAAAGGTGTGCACTACCACACCCAGCCCCTATAAGTATGTTTAAATACTGTGTCAATGAAAAATCAGAATGCAACTCGAAATTGAGATGCATGCTAGAAATCCCAACAATCAGAATGGACACCAGAGTATCACAAATTCAGGATCATCCTAGGCTGCATGAGAGCCTATCTCAAAGTGCCAAATATAAAGTATAAACATATTTTTAAAATAATTCATTTATCCATTCACTCAACTGCTTTTGTGGAGCAACAGGATTGAGAAACACACTCTGGA